TGCTATTTCTATCAATCTCCACATAACCGAACATCTCCAATTTCATTCTTATATCACAAACTAAACCTTTAAATCCCCGTTAATCATTAACCCTCGGTGTGTGAACAGTACTCAGTGAACAGTACCCGTGAACAGTGCTCACGACGTGAACAGTACTGCCACTTCCAAACATTAGCCAAAACACTAGCTAATCACAGGGTTTTCTTTCCAAAAAATCACACAACAGTCAATTAACACTCAATACACATAAATCCCACTTGAATCAATGCTTAAACTTCATCCTAAAGCTACCAGAATTATCCCCCATTTTTCCAGCAATTCACGGACAACAGAGGCAGCACATAAATGGCTAAACTTAGGCTTAAAGAGCTACCACATACCAGAATTTACAAGCAAGGAACCGGACCTAGCAGATTGGGGAAGGCCGGCGGAATCTGCAGGGGAAGCTCACGGAACTACCCAAAAATTGGAGGAACAAGAGCAATTAAAGTAAACCCAACCTAAATCAAGAGAGAAAAGGGAGATTCAAGGCTGTTCTTACCGAAAAATGCCCAGAAATTTCAAACCCACAAGTTGAAGCCGACGGACAGCAGAGGGAGGAAGACGCAGATCTGGGATTTTCTGGGTTCAACAGGTGCTCTAAGACAAGAAAAGAGGGAGAAATCCCCAAGCTTTGCCGGATTTCCGGCCAGAAAATGGGTGGCGGTAGTTGGGGGGCTTCTCGGGTGCAGAGCATCGGGGAGAAGAAGAAGATAAGGATGAGCAAAACACCTGGCTGAGGAGAGAAATATCAGCCTTGATCCTTATCCTAATTTCTTTTCTATTTAACCCCTCACCTTTTTAAAATTTTGCGATTAAGCCCCAAAACAATATTTTCCCTCAAATAAGTCCCCAATTTAATGCAAAAATACCCGAAAATTTTGGGATATTACACAACCACTGTAGAAAGATATGTTGACTGAGGAGGTGAGGGGAAAAGGAAGAAACCGCCCCTAAATAGGAGAGCAATCCCAAAGGAAGAAGCTTGCTATCACAAAGAGAAAATCTTAGAAGAGAAATCATAGGCGCGAGTAGAGAAAAAATCAAACCACCTTATATTATCATTAATTTTAATTGTATACAATTATTGAAATTATAAAACTCCAATCCAAATTCTCTTTCATTTCTCTCTTTGCCTTATTCATCACTTGGGATAGACATATTTACATTAATTTCAAATTAACAAATGCTCCAAATTATCGTTATCTTTTTGGTTTGATTAATTTAATTAATTCCAAATTGCATGACTAATGACCAAGTATTTAAAGATTTTGGTTACCCAAAATCTTTTTGGTTTTTGACTTTTAGTTTAGGTTTTCAAAAGTTGAACAATTAAAATTAAAAACCAAAATTAAAAATTAAAATTGACAACTTATTGGATATAGAATTTTAAAACAAATACCCAAAACTCTAAACTTAATTAATTTATAGAAATTCTTACTTTTATTTTAGGGTTTCTAATTTTTTTAAAACCAAAACCAAAAACTCAAAACTACAATCATATTAAACGGAACCTTGGTAGTCTTATTGTGGTTTTTAGTTTTTGGTCTTAATTTTTATAAATTTTGGACTTACTAGAAACCAAAACTAAAAATTAAAAAAAAATTATTTAAAACAAATATTAACACTAAAAATAAAAATAAAAACTTGTTTAATTGTATTAAAACTATTTTTGTTCATATTTCTTTAATAACATGATAATATATTGTAGAAAGCATGAAAATAAACAAGTTGTTTTTTTGTTGTAAAATTTAAATAAATCCCTATTTCGTTCTCTCAACTCTTGTATGGGCCCCAATTTGGTTCATGAACTTAAAAAATCCTTGTTTTGATCTCTAAAATTTGAAAATTTGACTCTTAATTACCAAAAACCAAAAATCACAACTGTATTAAACAAAGTCTAAATGAACCCTCTTAATTACTATTTCTGTCCTAAAATAATTAGCCATTTTGACTTTATCACATATTAAAATTTTTTGAATATTTATTTATGTTCTTCACTTTATTACCTTATTATCTTCAATAGGATTAGTGTAATATTTTAATTATTACAGAAAAAAAATACTATTATGGATATCTTGAAAAAATTAGGTACACTTATGATGAATTTAATTAAGTTTACTAATTAAGATTTAATTAAAAATGTAAAACAAGGCATAGACTCGATATAAGTCATGCTTTTTTTGCCTTTTGGTTTCTTTTCAATTAATGGGTGTGGTTATAGTCATATGTTGATTTGTTAAAGCCGCACAATATCATTTAAAAATATTAATTTTGTTTGACTTGGGTATTAAGAACAATTGATACTTGATAGAATAATAAATATTTATTATTAATAGATTAAAATTAGCTTATAGATTGATAGTTTTAAACATATTAACTGTTTAAGAAAAACTACAAACTAATAAAATATCAATCAAACTGAACAAAATTTGTGTTGCCTGAACAAAATTTGTGTTGCCTTAACAAAGTGTTGTGTGGCCATAACCACACCCTCAATTAATTTCGAGTCAATGCGCAAGTCGTAAAAACCTTTAGTGCCTTTCTCTCTTTTTTTACATTGTCATCGCCCTCTTTTTTTCTTCTTCTATCCCTAGTTGCTGCCTCTTTCCCCTTGGCTGGTTAAGGAGGATGAATAAAAGTGGGAGTTTCTCTCTCTTTGAGGGTTCTCACTCCTTAAGGAGTTCCTCCCACTTTTCTTTTGGAGTTTTTGCCTGGACTCTCTTAGTGGTTTTCATTGGGTTTTGCTATAGGTACAACAATGTGGTGGTGACTATCTTTTGGTTTATTTCAAGCTTGGCTTTAGTGGTCCTTGAAGGAGACCATTCCAACTCTCCTTCAAATTAATGCAAATAGTCATTTAGCATTTAGTGGGTGGGGACTATTTGTTGAATTACTTGCTCTCTCAATCTTGTTGTGGTAGTTGTGAAGTTCTAGCAACTCTGAATGTGCCCTAGGGCTTTCTTTTTAGTTTTATAGCATTGTACATGTCACTATGGTGATTGTTAAGGCAATCTTTAGGTATAGGTGTTCTCCATCCTTAATTGTTTTTATTCATTATGAGCATAGTTTTCATTTATATTTAGTGTTACGGATTATAGCTTCAACTTGGTTTTAGGGTT